CCATCCTGCTCCTCTTCCTCCTCTGCGTCATCCACGACCTGGTCGCTCTAATCATCATCGCCGTCGTCATGGCCATCCCCATCCTCATCGGCATCCTCATCCCTCGCCCTCGCCATTGGCACCTCCCTCGCCCCCCCCCCAACGGACTGCGCGCGTGAAGTACGAGGAGTGGTGGTCAAACAGGCGAGGACGAAGAGCACGTAGGAGGCGGACAAGGAGGAGGATAACAACCCCCCTTTGTTATCACACCGCCCACCCAGCTCAGATTCGTCCTCCTCCTCCTCCTCCTACTCCTCCTCCTACTCCTCCTCCTCATCCTCCTCCTCCCCCTCCCCTGAAAATCAAGAGATGCGATGGGTAGCACGGGAAAGAATTCGCCTGCTCCACCCACCCACCCACCCCCACCCCCTGTTCCATGTGCCTCGTGTCCGACCCCCCCCCTTTCCCCCCTGCCCCCCCTCCCCCGCCCGATGAGAGGTGATGCCAGATGAGGACGAGGGGCGATGAGGAGAAGGAGAAGGCGGGGCGAGGCTGATGATGATGATGATGAGGAGGAGGAGGAGGAGCAAACTGTAAAGCCTCCTCATTCGCGCCCTCCCTCCTCCTCCTCCGCGCCCTCTCCCCAACCATCCCCCGAGGAAGTAGAGGCGGGGTGATTCCGCTGATGATGGTGCTGAAGATGCGGAGGGGAAACGGGGCGGGGGGACATTGCGGAGGAGGAGGGAAGAGGACCTTGCCCCCATCGTCATCAAGTGCTTCGTCCCTCCTGCGTTATTATTATCATGCCGCCACCGTCGCGATTGTCTGGCACAGTAGATCGTCCTTCCCGAAGAGCGATATTTGCGTTGATAGTGATGAGGAGGAGGGCGCAGATGAGGACGATGGCGGCGATGGAGGGGGGTGGGGAAAGAGCGGATCCCTGAGGCCAAAATTAACGCGAAGGAACTGAAGAACATGAGTACGTGCAGGAGCGGGAGAAATGCGAGGCCATGGGTGACAGGTAAAAATGGGGGTGCCCCCCAACCGTCGCCGTGCACCTTCTTAAGATTGGCGGGAGGAATATGGATCGTGCGAATACAGAACATCATATGGAGGAGACCCCACCTCCGCCAGCAGCATCACCGTTCATTCTACTCACCGCCTTCATCCGTATATTGCGTCCTCCTCGGAGGAAGGATGTTGATGTGCCCCCCCCCCCCCCCCCCCCAACAAAAAAAAAAAAACGAGGCGGGAAGGGCGAGCACGAGGGGGGGAGACGGTGCGGACAATGATTTCGATAATGACGGTGATGGCAGCGATGATGATGGTTGATGATGGTGATGACGGTGGTGATGATGACGGTTATGATTATAATGCTGATGCTGATGACGATGATGATAATGATGATGCTGATGCTGATGCTGAGGCTGACGATGATGATGACGATGATGACGATGATGATGATGATGCTGATAATGCTAATGATGATACTGATGATGCTGATGCTGATACTGATGCTGCTACTGATGCTGATGCTGAGGCTGATGCTGATGCTGATGATGATGGTGATGATGATACTGGTGCTGATGCTGACGAAGATAAAGATGAAGATGACGATGAAGATGACGACGAAGATGAAGATGAAGAAGAAGATGATGAGGATTCTGATGATGATGATGATGATACTGATGATGATAGTGGTGATGGTGGTGATGGTGATGGTGATGGTGATGATGATGCTGATGATGGTGATGATGATGATGCTGATGATGATGATGGTTGTGATGATAATAATGATGATGATGCCGCTGATGATGATGGTGGTGATGATAATAATGATGATGATGACGTTGATGATGATGATGATGATGATGATGATGATGATGATTCTGATTATGATTATGATTATGATTGATGATGATGATGATGATGATGATGATGATGATGATGATGATGATGATGATGATGATGATGATGATGATGATGATGATGATGATGATGATGATGGGGGTGAGGAGGCATGAATGAGGAACGCACATTTCGAACCCTCGGCCTAGAGAGGCTCCCGGGAGGCCCATAGAGGCCCCCAAGAGGCCCCCAGGAGGCTCCAAGAGGCCCCCCAGACGCCCCCAGGAAGCCCCAAGAGGCTCCCAAGAGGCTCCCAAGTGGCCTCCAAGATACTCCCAAGGGGCCCCCAAAACTACCCCCCAAAGGCCTCCGAGAGCGCTCCGAAGAGACCCCAAACAGAATCCCTGAGAAATCTGACTCACGTCAGCGTCGTCGTCGTCATCGTCGTCGTCGTCGTCCTTTGGGGTGGCGGCACCGGCCGCGGCCGTAAGACCTTCGCAATCCCTGAGGGGGAGTTCTGAGGGGGAGGCGGGGGGGGGGAAACTTTCCGAAACCCTTCAAAACTCCCTGAAGGGGAGTGGAGGGGGGTCGGGGGGGAACCACCTCTGAACTCCCCAAACCGAAAAAATCCTGAGGGGTCGTTCTGAAGGGGGCCCTAAACCACCCAAAACCCCCCCGAGGGAAAGTTTTGGAAAGGTTCTTGGGGGGTCTGGGGGGAAGCCCCTCCAAACCCTCAATAAACAACCCTGAAGGTGGTTTTGCGGGGGGTCCATGGGGCAACACCCTTCTCAACCTCCAAAAACCCCCTGAGGGAAGTTTTGGCGGGGGTTCCGTGGGGAAGAACACTCGAAACCTTCAAAACCTGATTTTCGAAGGGAAGTCTGGAAGGGAAAACCCTCCTAAACGCTCCCCCCCCCCTAAGAGGGGTTCTGGGGGTGGTCCGTTATGTGTGAGAGGGGGACCTCTGAAACCTCCAAACAAAAACCCTCGGGAGGTTTTTGGTGGACCTGGGAGGGGAAGCCCCAAACCCCCACAAATACCTGAGACGTACTCAACCCCTTCACAATGGGAGGCGCATATTTGCATGAACGCCCTGTACAAAACAACACATCGCCAGAGATGCACGATCTGCGCTGCCCTCATCATCGCCGTGCCTCCCAGGAGCCCACGAAAGTGGCGACATGTGCAGCTCGTAGCCTCCAAAGGAGCCGTGAGGTCTCGGCTAGCTCTGCGTGAGCAGCGACTCCGCCGTGCCTCCCAGGAGCCCACGAAAGATGGCGACGGTTGCGCAATTCCCAAAGAGCTGCGAGGACTCGGACACTCTCCTACTCCGCCGTGCCTCCCAGGAGCCCACGAAAGTGGCGACAGTTGCACAGTTCGCACCTTCCCAGGGAGCTGCGAGGTCTCGGGTGCTCCCCTGCTCCGCCGTGCCTCCCAGGAGACCACGAAACCCACGAAAGTGGCGATGATTGCACAGTTCGCAGCCATCCGGCGAGCTGCGAGGTCTGGCGTACTCCCCTACAGGAGCCCACGAAAGCGGCGACGATTGCGCAGTTCGCAGCTTCCCGAGGAGCTGCGAGGTCTCGGGTGCTCCCTTCTTCGCCGTGCCTCCCAGGAGCCCACGAAAGCGGCGACAGTTGCGCCGTTCGCAGCCACCCAGGGAGCTGCGAGGTCTCGGGTGCTCCCCTGCTCCGCCGTGCCTCCCAGGAGCCCAGCCACACAAGGAGCTGCAAGGTCTCGCGTACTCCCCTAGCCCGCCGTGCCTCGCAGGAGCAAACCAAAATGGCGAGGGTTGCACAGTTTGCAGCCACACAGGGAGCACCGCAGGAGGGGGGGAGGGGGAGGGAGCACGAAGGAGGAAGGGAGGACGCAGATGTGCGATCGCAATGCTCAGTTCAAAACAGAAACCCAACACAGGATGGTTGGGAAACATCCTGAGTTTTTGTTGGGGGGGTCCGGGCAGGAAAACAACCCCACCCCCAAACCAAAGAGACCATGAGAGTGGTTTCTGGGGGGGTCCAGAGTGAACTCCCTGAATCCCCCTCAAGGGTTTTTTGGTCCGAGGCATATTTTGGGACCTGCCACTTCCCAGTGTGCTGCGTGGTGCTGCGTATCTTCCCGAATGAGGGCCTCAGGTCCGCTCCGAGGCGGCCTCAAAAGGCCACGGAGCGCCAGGCGAAGTCCCTCAAGAGGCCCCCCCAACAGAGCCCAGGAGGCTCCTACGAGAGCCCCAAGAAGGGCTCCAGAGCGTCAACGTCGTTGTCGTCGCCGCCGCCGCCATCGTCATCGTCGGCGTCGTCCCCCTTTAATTAGTCTCGGCGTCACCGACCGCAAGGCCTTCCCAGTAGCCCAAGATGCCGTCGAAGATCACACAAGGCAGTTAGCCCCAGATGACTCAAGATAGCCTTCAGCATGCCTCCAAGAGGGCCCGACTTGGCTCCTCAACGGTCGGGGCCCACTCCTGGGGACTGGCGTCTCATCCCGAGTCGGTGTTCTGTCCGCCCCAAGGCCTGGCAAAATTCCCCAACGGCCGAAAATTACCGACAACCTCACGCCGTGACTTTCAACTACGCGGGGATGCCAAGGAAGGATGGGCGAATACCAACCCCAAGACCTGTTCTCGGCTGCGCTCTGACACACATCTCGGGGCGGATCCAGCCGTGGCGTCGAAAAGCCTCCCAGGCGCCAAACAGTTACAGAAACTGCAATCCATATTCGACCCGCGAAGCGACGCGAGGATGTCGGGGGCCGAAGCTTGCTGACAACCTCCCGCCTTGACTCTTCGCGATGCGAATTTGCCAAGAAGCGTCAACGTCAACGACAACGATGACCACCACCACACCACGACGACGATGACGACGATGAAAACCGCATCGACCAGGACAACGACCACGGCGACGACGACGACGACGACGACGAAAACCGCGACCACGACCACGACCACGACCACGACTACGACCACGACCACGACGACGACGACGACGACGACGACGACGACGAAGATGACGACAGGAGTCAATATCAGGAGCGCCTTGGAGGCCTCTTTGGGCCATCGTGGGGCCGTGTTCGGGCCGTGTTGGAGGCCTCCTGAGGGCCCTTTGGGCCCTCTTGGGGCCCTCTTGGGGCCTCGGGGCACTCCTGGAAGCATTGGAAGCGTCGACGACGGCGAGGACGGCGGCGCGGGAGCGGCGCGCCTGCTGCGGCGCCCAGGCGCGGCAGGCCCTGCAGCGGGGGCGGGCGCAGCGGGCTCGCCTCGGGGCGGGACGGCCCCATCGGCCAGCGGGAGGCGGCGGCGGCGGCGGGCCATGATCGGCGGCGACCCTTCCACACAGATACAAACGACACTAACACGAACACGATCCTAACGAATTCCTCCTCCTCCTCCTCCTCCCCCTCCTCCTCCTCCCTCCTCCTCCTCCTCCTCCTCTCCTCCCTCCTCCTCCTCCTCCTCCTCCTCCTCCTCTCCTCCTCCTCCTCCTCCTCCTCCTCCTCCTCATCTACTCCTCCTCCTCCTCCTCCTCCTCCTCCGCCTCCTCGTCCTCCTCCTCCTCCTCCTCCTCCCTTCTCCTCCTCCGCCTCGTCCTCCTCGTCCTCCTCCTCGTCTTCTTCTTCTTCTTCCTCCTCCTCCTCCTCCTCCTCCTCCTCCACCCTTCATCCACCCCCGCGCGCTGTCGCCGCCGCCGTCGTCGTCGTCGTTGCCCCCGCCGCCGCCGCCGCCGCCGCTGGTGAACAAACTGCCGTCGCGCCGCGTTGAATGCTTATTTGATGTGATGCACCTGTGCTGGTTGGAGTGCGACTCCAGCAGGGTGCAAACCGCAACGCTTCGCGACGCACCAGGGCCAAACAGACCTGTTGCTTGATAGATCGCCCAGTCGTCGATGTGCTTCTCCAGCTTGACGTTGCACCGGCACAACCAGTTGCAGATGGGCGCCCCAGTGAGCACCGCGAAGACAATGCTCCTGCGTTGGGCCTCCGAGACAACATGCTCGCGGCAAGCCGGATGCTGACTCAAGTGAAGCACGTAGGCGTCGATCATCTGCTGCGCTGTCGGTCGTTTCCACTGCTGGCCACGCCAGCCAAAGACTACTGTCCTGGCGCCGGCGCCCTTAACCCTGGCCCACCAGTTAGGGGGGATCCGAGGATGAGGTGGGCCTTGACCATCATTCGCGTCGCACGTAGTCCACGACATGCGGAAGTTCGTGCTGGGGAGCGTTCTGTCGGACAACGACTTCCTGGCGCCCTCGAAATCGGGGGCGCGGATGACATCGAAGCCGTGATCTTGACATGCTAGTGATGTGCCCCGTCTTCGTTATCGGGCCCAGGCTGGGCGCCCTGGCCCCGCTGCTCACTTCTGCCAGGGCAAGTCGGCGGGGCCAGCCTGGCGGGCAGGCCCTGCAGCATTCTGGCGCGGCAGCTCCTTGGAGCCTCCGATGAACGGGCGCCGACAGGCCCCTCGGAAGTCGCACTGCCCCCCTCTCTCGCGGTGGAGTCTTGGCCCAGGAACGCCATGCCAGCGCGTCCAAAACACTGGGTCAACGAGGCGACGGAGGATGGTTGGAAAGCCCGCTATCGCATCTTTGACAATGCGCTCCAGGATGAGCTCGGCGACGCGCTGGCCCTGCTCGACCACCCACATCCGTGTGCAGGCGATCGGGGCGCACCACGTCGCCCACGACGCGGGCCCCGAGGGCGAGTCCGGAGCGCGGGCAAGTGCCCGGCGGCGCTAAGACGGCCACGCCCGTCGAGGCCAGTTCCCGCCACGTCCGCAGGTCGCATTGCTGACGTTCGCGCAGGCGCAGAGGTCGTTGCCCGCGGCCCCAGGCGCGCCTTGCGAGGGCGCCCGGGCGCCCGCGGCGCCGTCGCCCTGGCCGTCGCTGCCCGCCGCTGGCAGCGTGGGCCGCTGGGGCGGCAGGCCGCCAGAGCGCGGCTGGAGCATGCCAAAGTCGCGGACAGGAGAGCACCTATTCTTACTTGGTGCCGGTTCCAGACCGAAGTGGATGGCGCGGGGGGCCCAATGCGGTCTCGTCGCGCGCTTGTGATCAGCGCCCGGCTCCGCCTGCCCGTTGTTGGACTGCGTGGACTTCAGACCTAACCGGGCAGGGAACGGCCGGCGCGCGCAGGGAAGTCGTCGAGATAGGGCAGCGAGCCTCGCAGTTCGCTGCCCGCAACCCGTTGCCAACGCCTGCCACGTGCAGCAGGACAACTTCTCCGCGGAGCGCCGCAGCCTCGCCTTCTGGGCCTTGCAGGCCATGGCGAATCGCAATCTCCAGAGGTTCGTTCCGGCGCCGGTGTCGACTACGACAAGCAGCCAACTTGTACATCTGCACTCGCCAGGTAGCGCGGCGACGGGTTCGATGTACTCAAGCCCGTGCCCAACGAGGTCGGCCACCGCGAAGACGTCAGCCTGCATGGCGACACGCGCAAATCCAGATGGGGGGCGCAGGGGGCCGCCGTGTCGCGCGCTCCCCAGCGACCGCACACGCAGTCTTACCAAAACGTCCCGCTCGAGGTCCTGCTGCGGCGCTCGAGGTCCTACTGCGGCGCGGTATCCTCCGGCGCGCCCCCGTCGGCTGCCGCGCGGGCCGGCGCCGCTGGCGCTGGGCCCGCCGGCGCGCGATCTGCACCGATGCAGCGAAAATCGACGACAATGCCGGACTGGCCGCGGCGCGCTGGACAGCGCGCCGAGCGGGCACCCGCATGCTGCTTCAGCTGCAGACGGCGCGTCCAGTTCGCGACGCGGCGGCAACGCAGGCGCGTGACCCTCTCGCCGCGCAGGCGGACCTCGAGGCAGACAGGGCACTCCTCAGGCAGGAAACTCGGCAGGCAGCGAGGCCAGCCCTGATGGCTTCTGTCCGACACTATGCGGCCTGCGGACGCGTGTCGCCCTGCTGTCGCACGAGCTCAAGCGACAGCTGCGCGCCGTGGGGCTCGTCGACGTGCCCACTTGGCGCGCGGTCAAGGGCGGCGCCCGCGCGGCGCTCGGATCGGCCGCCGCTGGACATCATGCTTTCGCGGCTGTCGAACCGCATGGCCGCGCTCCCAGACGGTCGAGCCATCTATCCTGGGTGGGCCCCAGCACTGGCGGCAACGCGACTGCCGGCGCAGACTGCGGCGGCCGCGTGGAACGCGATCTACGCGGGGCGCCGGCGCCGCGGGCAGAGACTGCAGGCGCGCATTCTCGCCGCGGCTCCTGCGCGCGGGCAGGCGGGGCCGGGGGCGCGGCGACTCGCGCGTTGAGATCGCCTACCCAGTCGCGCCCCCAGGCTTGCCCCAGTGAGATTGCACCGCCCACTCGCGCCCACCGATGTGGCGCTGGTTGTGGTGGGTGTTGAAGCTGCCAGAGCGGCAAGCGCGGCCGCTGCCCCTGGGGCTGCCGCGGCTGGCGCCGCCCCCCCCGCCGCTGCCTCGCAGGCCGGCGACGCTGTCGCGGAGCCCGCTGGCGGTGCCGGGCCCTTTGCGCGGCCAGCGAGTCCCGCCATCTCCCGTCGCAGTCGCCGCAGCTCGTCGTCGCGAGGACTGGGGGGGACGAAGAGGAGGAGGGGGGCGCGCCCATCCGCCGGCCAGAGCCAATCGCCGCGGTCGCCCAGTTGCCGAGAGCCGCCCAACGGCTCACTTGGAGTGCAGTCGCCCCCGGCCGCGGCGCTGGCGCTGCCGGAGTCGGCTGTCCGCCGCTCCATGTGCGATGGCTCCGCGGGGGATCGCCTCCCCCAGAGCCCCGAGCCGCGGCATTCCGGAGGCGCCCCTAGTCGCCCATGCTGCGCGCACTCCTGGCGCGGGCCGCTGCTCGAATGAATGGACCTGGCGGCCTCTGCTGACCCAGCGGCGGCGGGGGCGCCGGCGGCGATGGCGGCGCAGGGGCGCGCGCGCCGAAGAAGGAAGCGCGCCCTCGGCTGCGGCGCCGGGGGCAGTCGCGCACGAAGCGCCCCTCAGCGTCGCGGCGCGCGAATCGCGCCCCGCCAGGGCCCTCTCCGAAGCCATCGGCCCGCGGACATTCCCTTGGCGGGTGTTTCGGACACGAACGACAGGAATCCGGGCCAAAAGGCGCGGCAGCCTCAACCTCTGCCCTTGCCCTTTCGTTCGATGGCTCTCCGGGCGCGGCGCGCGGGCGCGCGACTGTCGAAGCTGCGCCGACGTGCTCTGGCGCGCTCGCAATCCCGGAGGGGAGGCGCACTGCGTCGTTTCGCAGGAGCATCTCGCAGCTCAGGATCGCCTGCGGCAGCTTCTTCGCTGGAGGAGCTGACGGTGTCGGAGTCGGCGGCCGCTGCTGGGGATGCCCCCTGCGATGGCGACGCTGGGCAGGCGTCGCCGACGGCTGCCGGCGCGAGCGGCTCGGCGCCGCCCCTGGCGCAGCCGGGCCGCGCCGCCCCAGCCCGACCCGGCCACGACGCCACGGGCACCCTGAACCTGATCTCGCGCAGGCGCGCCCGCAAGGATGGCGCGCCGTTGGGCGGCGTGGACCGCCGAGGCGAGGCCGCTCAGCGACCCGTGGGCCACGCGCCACCAACACCGCGGCCAGCCCGTCTCGCGCGCGAGCCGCGCGGCATTTGCGGGGGTAGGCCAGCGCTGCAAGATCGCGGCCAGCTGATGTTTGGCGCGGTCAGCAAGGGGGAGCTGAGACACTCGCAGTCGATCACGAGTTGACCTACTCGGCGCGCCTGGCCGCGAAGGACGTCGAAATTGGCGAAAAGATTGTCGACGCGCCCTTGCGGCAGTCGGTTGCAGTTCACCACTGCGGACGCCGCCAAAGCGCGCCCCCCCTCGCCTGGTCGGCCACGCCGTTCGGGCAAACTGCGCACGAGGAAAACCGCCGGTGGCACCCAGTGGCGTGGATGAGCCCTACCTGGATCAGGACAACTGGCGGCAGCTTGTCCCCGCACATGCGCGCTGGCAGGGCGCGGCGAGGCGTGGGCCACCTGGCGGAACTCGTCGAGGCCTGAGTTCGCCAACTGACAGATCACCACCTCGCGCGCGCACCTGGGGAAGGGCGCGCGATTCCAATGACCAACAGCGGGAGACGTACATATCGAGTGGAGAGATGACGAGGAAGAGGGAAAAGAGGAGGGGGAGGGAGAATAATGAAGAGGGAAGCACGAGAGGAAGAGGAGGAGGAGAAAGGAATGAAAAAACGAAGGGGGAGGGAGATGAGGAAAGAGGAAGAGCACGGCATGGACACAGAGGAAAAAAAACAAGGCGGCGACCCTGCATCGGCGACGGACTGCCCCGTGGACGACGGCGACGGCGTCGCCGACGGC